GGATACCGCGGGGAGATTGGCTGGTGGGAACGGCTGAGGTGGCGGATCTCGCGGAATCAGAGCCGGATGACGCATGGTGACTCCTCCACGAACGATTTGCACCGGCGCTCCAGGGTTCAACTTTATCTAAAAGTCCCCAGCGTGTCATTAGCGTCTCTCGACGACGCGTTAATCGCCAGCTGCGACCTTACCTGATGATTGATCTGTCCCCCGGTCAGGAAAGGGTTTTGCGGGAGCGGTGGACCTGTTATCGGTGGACGCGTTGCGGGCCTGGGGGTGTTGTTGCCGGTTTCGTGCTCGTAATGATGAGCGTGATGATGCTTGTGATCCTTGTGGGCCTTGCCGGCAGTCAGAGCTACCTCGTACAATTGGACCATCGTCACTTCTCCCAAGAGACCACCGGCACCTGTGAACGAATCACGCGTTACGAGCGGTTTCGCAGAAAAGCGAAGGAAACGTAGAAAATCACTTACCGGGAGGGGAGCCCTCGCCCTCCAAGAATCCACCGCCCAGCTGTCGTTGCTCCTGTCCCGTGATCGCTACTCCTCCACCTTTGATCACGTGTCCGACCAGCTAACGCGTTCGAAACAAGCAGGAACGAATTAGGATCGCATCCGACAGTTATCGATTCGATCGATTCAGCGCGCTGCTTTTTCCCTTCGTTTCTGGTGCATACCGCGTCGAATCGATCGCGCGTACGCGCTCTCGCTTTCACCGTGAATCGCTCTTTTTCCGTCCCGCAAGCGTCGGAGAATTCCGTCGCGAAGGAAAAGCGCGCGGTAAATTCGAACCGAGACGGAAAAATCGTAATCTGGGACGCGTCTACTTTCACGTCACGGAATAGGCGCGGGCTGACGCGTCCGGAGAGAGAAAGATATAGAACGGATAACGAGCGTGCTCGGCGTGCCAAAAGTTCCGCAAAGTTAGTCATCTCGTCGAATTCTTCGCGCGATTTGCATCGCGGATAGAAGGGACGCTTTCCACTCGACTTTCGAGAACGCGACGCGAAAACGGCCAACGGTCGATCTCAAAGCGTGACAACGTCGCTAGAAAGCGCCCGTACGTCGATTCCTCTCGCTCGCTCGCGAGAATCGACGAGTGCCGTTTTTCGCGTGGAAAACTTTCGTCGACCGAAACGAAAGATCGAAGGGTTCCCAACTTACCCTATTGTTGAACCCACGACCCACGCGCTCGTCGTTGACCCAGATCTGCCATTCTCCGGTTCGGCCGTTCCAGCTTTGGCAGGAGTGGTACCACTTGTTCAATCGCAGCGGATAATTCAATCTGTACAAGTTGTGACCGTTGACGTTCATCATGTAGTAGGAGCTCCTGGCGGTGTTGGCCACCCAGGACAATATCCCGCGCGGCTGGTCTCCGACTTCGAAGAAACCGTTCTCGATTAGAATCGTTGAAAGTCCCGCAGGACTCGGATAATAACGAGTTAGTCGTTTCGATAATCGAGCTGACCGCGCAACCGCCTAGCATATTATTCCAGCTCCGCTCGGAAAATGCTTCGTCCTCGAACTCGATCGCGAAACCCGTTCCGCAGATTTCGCAGGAATTCGAGTTTGAACGGTTGCGCGATTCTCGGCTATTTCGAGCAAACGAGAGAGTCGATCGGATTTTGAACGTCGACGATCGACGAGGCGGCGAAGCGCGAACCGATGGGAAATCGTGCGAGACAACGACCATCTCCCGAAGAGGAGGTTCGATCTTCGAAACGACGAGAATCGCGATGCCTTCGCTTTGCTCGAAAAGCACGACGAGAACTTTCGCTTTCTCGGGCCATTCGCGGCGCTCGCGCGCACGCGATGCGAAGGAGGAAAAAAAAAACAAAGGGAATAGGTGAAAGGAAAAAGAAGCGGATACTCGGACAGCCGACACGGCATCGCTCACCTGCGTACGAAAACAGCGGATGATCGTTGGTGTGGTTGAAGAACTTGGTCCACGCGCATAGGGTGAACTCCTTCATGTCCGGTAAATCGATCTTGTAGTGGATGTACTGTGAACAAGAACGAGAGGTAAATCGAGTCGATCGAAGCGTCGGAAACGCGGTGATCGGTCTCGAGCGGAAAAGTTGTTGGCCGTGGCGGGTGCTAATCGTTCGTTATTCGTTTCCTTTCTCCGATTACCGGATCGCGGCCAATTTCGTTGCTCCGACCGGACGAAAAGCTGTTCATCGACGGCCCGCTCGATTCCGTCTTCCGGATCGATTTACGTAACTAGTTTCACCGGACTTTCGAGATATTTTCGTCACGCGAGAACAAGGTCTTTGCCAGGATTTCTTGGATCTCCGACGTTGCGCGTCCCCGTTACGCAACGTCGATCGGAACGCTCGATCGCGCATCGCACTGGAACGCGAGGAATCGATCGAGGCGTTTTTGCGATCGTGCTAACCTTGATCGCGAGTCGTATCGTGGCAAAGTCGACCGAGAGGCGAGGTTCGCGTGTCGTTTCCGAGGCGTTTTCTCCTACTTTCGTTACCGAGATTCGTGTCATTTTGTTCGCATCGCGTTCTCTCGACCGTGAAAAACTTTCCGCGTATCGGGCAAATTACGGAATTCCGCGTTCGAGAAACGCTGCACGTACCTCGAAGTAGAGCTGTTGGTTCATCGCGACCTTGTACAGGGTGCACCTGTCCTGTTCCTGTTGGACCAGCAACGAGGAAGTTTCGTGATCGTACAGCGACTGGGCAGGTCCGTTCGCGAACACGGGCGACGAGTGCTGGAGGACGCTGCTCGAGGAGATAGGAAACGACGGTCGCCAGGACGTGGATATCGCTCGCGCCGCGAACGTCGTCCACGCGAGCACGCTCCAGACCGACAGGACGGTCGACGTCATTTTACGGTCGGTCGGACGATCCTTCTGAAACGAAAAGAACGGTGAACCGCGAAAGAAAGGATTCGTCCGTCGGCGTGACGATCCAAGATAAGCGTTCGAGGACACTAGGAAGCGAAGGGTCGATTCGTTACGCGGGGCGGTTGAAAATTGCGTAATTCGATTCACGACGGCGGAACAATATCGTGGGTAAACACGATCAAAATCAGCGTTTTTCATAACCGTGCCTCGCCGGTTTCTCCGTGCAGGAATCTAGCGTGGCGTGCAGGAAAAATCGCGAAACCGGCAACTATAGGAATTATTTGTAGTAGCTGGTCGATTCGAAGCGAGTAGCGCGTGAAAAAACGAACGACGCGAAGCAACGGGCGGGTACGGCTTACCTTTCGCGAAACGAACAAACGAAATCGACGGAAAAGTCGAGAGGGACGTTCGAGGAAACGCGAGAGTTATCGGTAACGACGAAGATAGCGCAAAGTCGACGAACGAGTCACCGAGAAAATAATCGACACGGCGCGGCGGCGCGTAAACGACGCGATAGAGGGAGGTAGATCCTCTCGAGCTCGAAACAGAAAGGTAACTGTCCGCTCGTTCTGCTCGACGTAGGCCTCGTAAACTCGTAAGAGGTGGTGCGTGCCTCCTACCCGCTTTGATTCGCCTTTTTCTCTCTCTTTTACTCGCCTTCTAGCCACGGACATCCTACGATCCGTGGCGTGCCACGGGATGCGCGTACACCTTACTCCTCTCCTCCTGTTCTCCCTCGATTTTCTGGGTCACTCTCGGTATCGCTCCAATTTTTCCTTTAACGCGTTCCTCGAACTCCACTCGCGTTTTTTTCCCGCCAACGTTCGTCACCGCCGTTGTTTTCGAATCGGTTCGCTCGGAAATAGCGGTGCCCGAGAAACTCGTTGAATCGCGTAATCGGTGAAGCGAACGAGCAATCGGCCGGATAACCGAAGGAACGATAATTAAGCGCGAGCGAATGCGCGTAATTTGCCTCGCGGCTCAACGATACCCGTGATCGCGGCCTCGTTTTTCCCTGCGGAGGTTTGTCGCGTCGCGAAAGCGGGCCCGGCTCGGTCCAGCTGCTCGTAAAAAAGATTCGTGACGCGAATACGCGGCCGGCTAAAAAGACGTTGCGAAATTCGGACTGGCCGCGAGATCCTATTCGGATATCGCGAGATTTCGGTCGACTCGGCCTCGAGGTCCACTCGGCCTCACCGCTCCTTTTCGGAACAGCCTCGTCCCGGATAGAGCGACCGGGGAGTCCGGTATCCTGCCTCCCTCGCCTCTCTATGTACGATCGCTGTAAATTAGAAGGGTACTCGTCGTTCGGTTCGCTCGTAGAATTTCAAACGGAGAGAAAATCGGATCAGGCGGTCGAGTTTCTCGAGGTTTCGTGATCGACGCGGACGGGAAGCGGATCGCGAACTCTGACCCCAGAACGGGGTTCGACGCTTTCGCCGATGCGTCGGGTCGTCGCGACCGCCCCGCCGAATGTCTGGCTGGACAAACGTTTCAGAGAAGAAAGTATCGACGAGTAAGCCGATACGCTGCGTGACGGCAAAAGCGGCAGTCGAAAAATGCACCGATTCCCCTCTCCTTCGTCGTTCCGATCCCGCGTCTTCTCGGATTTCCTTTCCCCGCGGAGCACCGGAAGAAAGGACGGGAGGAGGCGGGCCGGGAAGAAAGGACGCGAGACTTACCCTAGAAAATGAAAGTCGTATACGGTGACTCTCGGCCTCGAAAATACGCTTCGATTGACGGCCGAGCAGAAAGTGCCGCGCCGTCTCTAGGAATGTCGGCAAATTACCGCGATTGTTAACCGTTTCGCTAAAGTCAAACGGCACGTTCTTTTTCGCACAGCGCGTCGACGGTGCCCGAAGGCAGGATCCGCTCGGTGTTAACCCAGATACGGTCCGGCAAAGGATCGCCGATCCTTTCGAGTTTTCTATCGTTGCGCAACGTTTCTCGCGGTTATGTAAATCGACGCTTCGCGGACGGTGTCGATTTTCCGTCAATCTCCTTTCTGGAGATCGAGACCTTGTAGCCCGGATGCTGGGCCCATAAAAACGCTGAAATCTGTGACGGGTAAGAAATTCACTAGTCGTAGGTGATCGAAAGTATCTTTATTGCGTCGCGACAAAACGGTACAGAAACGATTGGACCAAGAACAGCGCGTAACGGTGCATGCTGCTTCCTGCAGCGAGATGCTGGACGACGATCGGATTACGCGATCGAGGCCGTTCGAAAAGGGTCGAGAGAATGGCTCGTAAAACTCGACCGGGCGATTTTCGGTGAAAGCGAAAGCGATTCGGTGAACGGACAGGCCCGGATCGAAAGCGAAGCGCAACGGAACCACCGGCCGGTCTGCTGGACTCTTCGACGAGAGTCGAATCGTGGCCGAGATCGATCGCGTGATCGCTTTTTTCTTTCGCACGGAAACGAAGTTCACGGTCAAAATTTACGCGCGAAAACTCGATCGTGGTCCGAGCGACTTCTCGTATGTCGATCGCGGCACCGTTCGATCTCGTTATCTCGTAATCTCGCTTCGAGAAACTGCTAGAGCGGTGAAAGTTTTGGACACGTTCTTTCCGACGAATCGTAGTACCGGTTGCGTAAGGATACGACGCATCCGTAACGCGTAACGTTAGCGACTCGTAACGAGAGTAGCTTTAGGGTTCGAGGTATGGACGTACGGAAATTATCTTTCCAGAGGCGGATAATCTAAGCTGTTCGTTGCGCAACGGTCGCCAGTCCCGGGAAAAATCCGTGTTCCATTGTGCGACTAACGACCGCCGCATTCGTCGACCTACGCGTAAGCGCCTTCCTATGTAATCCGCGACGGAAGAAGCTTTCGAGCAACGATCGTGATTCGCTGAGGTAACGAGGCGAGTAAAAATTTGCCGTATATGGATTCGCGGATGCAATATCGAATCGTCCGCCAAAGGTCCAGTCGCTGACTGGTTCAAGGAAGAAAGTCGAGAAAACATTGCCGACGCGGTTTACTCGCGAGTTTCCAACTACGCTGCAGTGGCATTCGCGATTCGAATTCGCTGCGCTATTGTCGTAAAAGGGTGCTCGCGCGACCTTTTTTTGTCACGACCTAGCCTCGCCTAGATATCGATCTGTCCGCGGTTTTGTAACGTCGCTCGTTTCTTCTCTCTCGAGTTTTTTCCGAGATTGCGGCAAGCTGTTGCGCGCGATGCTATGTAAATTTTACCGCGTACCGAATCGGCACATTTGTCGAGCGAACAACGCAAATTGCCTTTTTCGCCGAAGAATAATCGCCGATTATTCCGAGTAAGATATGACAGATATAACGTTATCCAATCGTTATTTAACAATGTTTCGCCGTTTCTATCGCAGGCGTCACGGATCGTAATATCTCGAGGTAGCAGAACCGGTTGACCGATCGCGGTCGCCGAATTAGGATCGAACGAGTTCCATTAGTAGCGAGACGTTTTGGTCGAGTTTCGAGTCCGATCGCGTCGATAATACAGATAGGGATCGAGCAACGTTCGCGGTAATCGATTCCGCGCCCCGATCCGTATCGTTGCTCAAAAGTTGCCGCACTCGCTCTTCGCGTTCTTCAGGATGGCTCCTCCGAACACGCGAACTGGAGTCCTGCTCCAGGAAATGAGCATCAACGAGCCGCCTATGAACGGACTTCCTCTGCCGATCTCGCAGCGAACGTACGACAATTTGACTAATCGTAAGCCGAGCGGTTCCTCGCTCGTCTCCGCTCCGCCGATCCACGCCGGGCTCGAGATCGTTCTCGTTCCAGAAGCGGGCTGGTCGCTCACGGTGCGATTCGTCGGTCGCAACTGTGACGATCGAAAACCGTCGGCGTATCGAGGGCCTCGCAAGCGGTCGAGATTCGGGAAGAACACTCGCAGTGTCCGCGACCCCTGACCGATACCGTGTTGCGGCGGTTTAGTCGAA